TTWRKYCCATACAACATGCCACGGGTTTTATATATTTTCAAGACCACAGGCCGCTCCGACAGTGAGATTTTGTTTCACAACAAGCAATTTRAGTCGAGGTCAAACAGTGAAATRTTTTGTRTCGCTGTTTCCGAGATGGGTCGCTTTAATTTAGARGAAGGCGGACGAGGTCAGTCGTTAATGGCTATTATTGTCACGKTTAATTTTAGATCTATCTAAGATGGTTTCTTTGCGGAAAAAAAACAATGAATTTATGTTAGATAGGGGTGATAGCTCCTTAACAGGAAAAGACACAATTCTGAGGTGATAGTTCTGAAAAGAAAAGAAAAACACTGTAGTATCAAAGGTGTCACTTCAGAGAGATTACAAGTTTGATATGATTACGTCAAAATTCACTATCTAATCAAAAGCGACTAATCTTAGAGATTACAAGCAAGAAACAGGATTTATGATATTACCAAGGAATCAGTTTTAGCTAAGGATCTGTCATTAACGATAAATTGAACAGCGCTTTCAGGGCGGACATCTAAAACTAGTACTCAGCCCTCTTATAATGCCTGGCGGGATAAGAGGTCTGTTAATTAATGCAGGTCTAGTAGATATGATCAAGATCCCTCTTCAAACAGAGGTCTCCAAATATAACGATACTTTATTGTTTCAACTGCAGTCGCGGCCACTTTGCCTGACAACACAAAAGTGTGGAAATTAAGGATCCAGCGGAGTTTTAAGTGTTGAACATGCGCGCAGCCAGCCACTAGTTCAAGATAACAATACATAACTAACCATGATGCATCATGGTCATATATTGATTAGTTTTGTTTAAGTGAATTTGAATATTTTGACAAACCCATTTGCAGCTTTCACCAACAAGAAACAGTTTGTAAATATTTTGATGCAGACTATGAAAAAATAAATTGGTTTGTAATCATTTTTTTGTGTTTTATCTTTTCTTTCTATTATTCAGGATTTTTTTCTCTGATGTTGGTAAGACTTGGAAACATTTCTTCCTGATTTTCATTTATGGTTTCACATTATATCATAAATGCTGATTGATTGATTGATTGAAGCACGTTTACTGGGAAAAGGATCACACAATAGAACCGTGACAAGACGCGCAGTATAATGGGTAGTAGTTTCTGTCATACTCAATGATACGGCCGCCATCTTGATTTTTTTCAATTATGGTTTATGTATTTTGTGTTATGTTTATGTATGTATTCAGGGAGAAAAACATAACTATTAGCAGCTGTTGTAAACACCTTGGCCCCAATCCAGTGTTGTCTCGTTACATTGAAGACAACCAACAAAGATCTTACTTGGAGAAGATTATCCATCTTCACAAAGGCAAAAACATACTATGTCCGCCATTGTTGCTCCTGTTGGTATCAATTTTACATTTTCCTATTCTACTGTTATTGCACATGCACTTCATTGATTCCTGTCATTGCATGTCATTCAAGGGTGTATTTACTAATCTATTACTGATACCAATTTCTCGAACCCCCATCATTCCTATCCGTCCCAAGTCGATCACTTAAAATTGTTTCATCCATGAAAGRCATTCATTCATTTGCACAGTGGACATAATATAACTGTCAATTCGATTCATAGCGACTCGGACCCATTCAAATGAAGCCTTTCCAACAGAAAGGCGAAGTTTTACCAACACAAGGTGGAAAAAAAATATTAAATTGCTGAAATCAACGGCTTCTTTTATAGAGTTCTACTCAATATCAATTTTTCTTTAATTATACATGTAAAACTTAAATTTGTTTTCTTCTTGTATCTGAATCAAAAGTATAGTAACTAAACTATTTTTTACGGTGATTCAAAACCAACTTTAACATTTAACTTCACTTGCACTTTGTTTACTAAGATGCGCGGTCAACCTTTTTGATTACCAATAAGAAAATTAACTGCTAACGGCAGATAACTTTGTAAATATTCGTGACAGCGTCTTAGTACAAGCTAGAGTGTTTACTTATGAAAGTAAATAGCAAAATAATTAAAGTGTCTCTTTTTATAGCATGTCAAATTTACTCGAGTCCGAGTAAAATCTAAAACAGTGATTTGAAGTCGAGTTACAAGACAATGAAGTACAATACGCTTTATTCAACCATAGTAAACGATGAATCAACGAGTGCAACACTTGACAGTAATAAACTGATAAAATAGAAGCAGAGTTGCAAGTTTAGCTTTTAAAAAATCACTGTTCTCAGTTAGAGTTGCCATGGAGTCGAGTTTGAGTTATGCGAGTTACAGCGAGTTTTTGTCTCCCGCGTTGCTAGTAATCCAGGCTGACTTAACGCTTTGTCTTCAAATAATTAACACGCAATCTGTCACTTGCTATTGGAGAGTTAATTAGACCAAAACTTATGAATTACGATTTTAATCACAATACTTCTATTGTYTTGGTAGTTAGGCTTAATGACTTCGTTGTTAGAGTARAKGCTACTACTCTGAGGTATCCAGTGCTTAACGTGGGCAAAGGTTCCGGACATAGCCGGAAAAGGGAGATTCTGCGAAGACGCTTTGATCCTTGGACAGTTGTTGTTTTGACAKCGTTTAAAGTTTGACTGTAGCYATGCCAMGKAGTGATTCTCCMAGTCGCCGGACKTCCATGGTCCAAGCRCCGGACACCTTACAGCTTACTCATCATAAAACGTCGTTAACAGTCAACGAAAGCCGATATAACAGAAGACTTTCTACCTCTTCACAGAGCAGTACAATCTATGGTCGGAGAAGATCGTACGCCATGCCACGATTCGGCAATAATCCTTCAGCTGAAATGACACCAAAGTTTCTCAACAGTTATAAAACTGAACCAGACGAAGACAAGCGTTTTCGCGCCAAAGCTGTGACTGATATCATTCAAAATACTCTCAAAGAGAAACTTGATGGTATTGAGTATTCTTCAGAGCGTGCTCGAAGGATTGTAGCGCCAATTAGTGAGGAAATCAAGGCAGCAGTGAAGACCTTGGGTTTTGATCGGTACAAACTTGTGTGTGTTGTGCATATTGGGTCTTTAAATGATCAAGATTTGCGGATTGCTAGTCGCTGTTTATGGGATGATGGCTTTGATCGAGTTGCTTCTTCTTCGTTCTACAATGAAACTTTGTTTGCATGTGCCTCAGTGTTCGGTGTTTATCGCGAATAACCGAATCAATATAACGGTGCATACAAGATGTCACGCCTTGAGATGTCGGATTCCTCAAATAGCTACTATATAACTAAAACTTATCAAACAGGTTTTTGGTATGAAAATCAAGGGGACATTTATTTAAAATCACTGAATAGAGCTACACAATTACAATAATAAAGAGAGAGAGAAGTTTGAACTTTAATTCTGACAGAAAGACGAGTGCTATTGTAGGCTGTATGACTCATCATTTGGAAGACTTTTGCAGTAATGGCATTCAGCCTTTTCATTATTCTAAAATGTGCGAAGTTCTAGAAACATCAAATATAGTCAAAAGCAGTTAAAATGGTAAAGTTGGAAAAGCCGAGTTTACTTTTTATTCCACAAGTTTGACTGCCTATAATTTATTACTATTGTGCTGCCATGGAAACGTACCGCGTAAAAGATATACCGTGATATACTGGATCTATACAATGACATGGGCGAAGAAACTGGCATCTGTGTTGACTCGTCGTCGATATTCAGTGGTTTTGGACACGGGCTTGCGTGCGGCTTGAAGTGAAAGCAGTTTAGGAGACTGAATCCATAATTGACGAGAGCCCATGACATCCAGTCTTCACTGAAGAAAGCAATTAGGAAGAGCAACGGCTTAAAACTTATACAACTTAAAACTTAAAATTAAACATATATAGCTGATTTATATAACTAAAGAAATGACGACTTGCGTTTTTTAAGTCTTTTTTTACAGGTTTTAAATTCGCAACCGTCGAAAACTCGGGCTCCCTGTGCTAATGTTATATAGTCCTCTTCGACCTTTTATAATTGATGTGTTTCACTCTATTGACAGTTCATTTACAAAAGTTCAGAATTCATTAAACGACGAATTCATCAAGTACTTTGCGTATTTGACAAGCCACTCGTAGCGAAGTGAGTGTAAAATGACTTTACTGATTTCATACAAAGTGTTGATAGGCTGGTCGTATTTGATTTGGCAGTAGACCTGTAGGATAAAATTACCCAAAAAACTTTGAAAATAGTGAATGAAAAGGTTGACTTATTTTTGGTGCAAAAAAACAATATGTTAATACTCCAATTTCGAGTTCTGGTTAGCTCTGTGTTAGCATCAAAACCAAGTAAAATATTGTTTTGTTTTATTGATAGACCGAGAAAACGCATGGAATTTGAAGAGAGACAATAGAATTGATTTGAAATCTCATACTTTTATTCTCACATTTAGGAATATTTTGCGCAGAAATGAGGCTAACACAGAGCATTGGAGATTTCGAAACTGGATTATTCTTCAGTCAGTTTACTAAGTAAATTTGTAAAGTTCAAGAGGATATTTAGTGTGCCACAAAGTTTTGTCTTTAAGCAGATGAGTAACAAATCCCGGGACATATATGCTGCAAACTGTATTTTATAACATACAGACATTAAAATGCCTTTTAGGAAGATAAATCTAGGCTAAATTGTGTTCAATCATCAAGCAGTTCAAAATATAGTAGCGATATTTCAGTTGCGCCTTGCTGATCATTACTGGGAACTTTTTATGTGGAATGCTAGAGACAACAAACGTCCCAGTTAAAGATAACAAATCTACGTTTTTTATCTGTTTAGTTTTTTCCCTAAAGGTATTTACTTTAATAAGGTAACCTTACGCCTTATAAACGCTGTACTCGTATGCTTTTGATTAAACAGACATCCGATCATGACCTAACAAAAGGGACCATACAACATTTTTATGATTAGAAACAAAGCTGGCAATCAATCAGCTATCAAAAAATTATGTTCAGAAATGGAAAGAGCAGGTTTATGCTGGTAAAATGGCAAAGTCTAAACTCTAAATACAAGAAATAAAAATATTGATTTTTCTGAAGAAACGTATGGGAAAATATAACTGGAAAGCAAGCCTTGCTCTCCAGTTCTGTTTTTGTATATGTTTCTTTAGAGAGAGAAAAAAATGATATTTTCTATCAATCTAGTGTTGCGACTTGCGCTATGTCTTCTTACTTATTTTGATCCCCTCTTGCCATCTCTAAACATCATTTTGTCAATGATTTATTTAAGGTAGGTGTGGCGTCACGTGACTCCCAGCTGTAAATGGGTTATTTTCAGTCGAAGTTAAGTCGATGAGTCCGACATTAAAAATCCTGCGCTGGTTATTGAAAAAAACACTGACATTGAAAGAAAACAACAGAAATTGAAATGACATTTCCAAATCGTTGAGACCAATTCGTGTGGAAGTACGAAGGATGAATGGCGTTAGCAACCGGATTAATATCCTTTATCTGAAGGAGACTGACTCCATACAAACCTAATCTAGGGGATAACTACATGTCTCTTCATCAGCAAATCCATCATACAATGACAGACCTAATATAAGTTGAAAATTCAGTATATTTCAGATTTATTAAATTTTGCAAGGAAATGAGAGGCAGATTCTTTAAGTTACTTGTTGTCTGCAACACTTGTCAAAGCCTAATCTAATTTCGTCTTGTATGGAGTGAGTTTCGAAGATTGCTTGTTTATGAACAAGAAGTCCGTGACTCTATCAAGAATAAACAGACTCTGAAGGATGTTTACAATGCTCTAAGCTCAACTAGCTTTGAAGCCGTACTTGTAGGTTGTTTCAAAGAACATTKCTARGCAATAGAAAGAAATTCCTGTTTTTTCCCAATCTTTTATTACAATCCCGAATACGAAGCTTATGCGAAGAATAAATAAGCTTTCATAGATGTATACAACACGCTCTACACTCGCTAATATAATACACATATGCTCTATTATACCTATGTACACTGTATTCTAATGAAGATGTTGTCAACAAATAAGCCAGATTATAGAATAGTTGGGTTGTTAGTCGGCCCTTCAAAGAAAGCAAATCTGTTCTATTTTTGCCACCACTACGCTAAAACGGTAAGGTTTATTCTGCATAGGAACCCTAGAGGCAGGAGTTCGAATCCAGTACGTTTTTATGCTACAAGAGTAGTAAAAGTAGCTTTTTGAAACGGGGAAATTTCAGGTTACCTATAGTTTTACGTGCCTATCAAGCAATTTAATTAATCATGGCTCTTAATGTTTATGCAAACACACTTCGTTAATGAGATCAATGTATCATGTCAAGTATATTTGACGTGCTTGAAATTTCTCCTACATGAGAGACTCTTTAGATTTTTAACATGATTAGGAAGGCCTTCTCGAGTTGTACATATTTTCAATTTAATTTTCAAGTATTTGAAAGCGAGTAAAACTGTAAAATCAAAGAACAGTCAATGAAAGCACGTAGAAAAATAAATGCATTTTGCTATTATACAAAATGCTAATATCAAATCACTGAAAAAGGAATGAACTAGGAATTAACGTTATCCTGTAATCATAAATGAAATTTGAAGTCCAATTTGACTGACTAATTGAAGTTTTTAAAACATACGGGCCACACATTTAAAAAACCTTTAGGGCTATAGTGAACTTTGACAAGGCTAAACGCATCGCAATTTCAGCCATACATCTTTGAACTAAAAACGTATTAGCACAGATATTTACCTAATTGCAGTCGAGATGATTTCTTGCCAATTAATACTATTCTTTCAATTCCTAGATGGTTCACTAAGTACAGCAGCCATTATTATAAAACGAAGAACGAAAATCAAGCATACTTTGATGATATGCGGTCAATGACGTCACTGATGTATATCRTTCATAAATTCAGAGAGTCAGGCCTAGCGATCCAGGGTTTCCTTTCGAGTAGTTTGAAGTACTTCTGAAAAACGATCTCTACCTGATAAAGTATCATGCAATCTACCTCACGCTATTTCAATACTGATAGAACAATCTAGTTCACATTCTCAGACAGTTTGCACCTCTTTAAACAACATCTTAAGATACTGTGAAAACTGTACAAACAGCAAAAAGGGACTTATTACGGAAACTTGCCGTCGCAAAACTGTCCGATTCAGGATCCCATAGACACTGACTCGTGATTTCAATTCCTTGATCCCTAATCTCGCCGATGTAGGCGACAGCAACAACTTTAGTATCTTTTGTGGTAATTTCTCGAACTCTGGTTTCTACGGCTTGAGTAATAACAGCTGCTTGCTTGACACAGTCTTCGTTCACATAGCTTTTTTCATCGAGTTCTTTATGAAGCTCTTCTGAAACTATTTGTCGCAGAATTTCACTAGCTTCTAGATCATTCTCGAAATCTTTTAAATTCGCTGTGCTATTACAGTCAGTCTTATCCAGTTCAAATCCCGCTTTTTCGTCGTCTTCTCCGCCGTGCCATGTACTCGAACGAGGTCGTGATTTATCAAAAAAGAAAGCAATGCCAGAGGCTAGAGAATTAATACTTGATGTCTCCAAATGCTCTTTTCTTCGCTCTTGTTGGAAAAAAGGATCCAAGGAGTTCCAAGTCACTGAGCGTTTTCTGGAAGCAGCTAGCGAGGTCATTTCTCTGGCTGTCTCAGTTGTCAAAAGCGACAAATCTCTAAACAAACGCTGTCTCTTGTTTCTGAATTGTCAATATCGTTTCTAAGGCATAGTATTTAAAGCTGTGAACTGCTAATAGCTTGAACAAAAGGCCTATGAGCAATTACCAGTCAGTTAGCACCAAACGATATTCAAAACGTGTCTCTTCCTATTCCACAGAGAGTTTCCGCTCGCGATAAATGTTTAAAATGCGCCCTAAATATCCGCTGCAGGGATTTTGTTGTCTTGCTGTGATAAATTGAGGGATTAACTTGTGCTTGCGGTTTTTTGCGTTTTCAAATCGAGGCTGGATACGTCATGACGTAAAAATGAAAGCAATTTCCCAGTGTARTGTTGGTATTTCCGCCTCGAATGTTATGATCATGAAACGGCCGTAACTTCCGGTTTCTTTTTAACAAATTACGCAAGGTTTTTGATTGTAAGTCCACTTGTTGACACACTCTTGACGTTGTCATAAAATTTCAAAACTAAGTGGATTCACGCACTCTAACCAGCCAATCAGCGCGCTAAAACTCACACAAGTGTGTAAAAAATATTTTCAGCGAAGCCTAGGGGATTAATTGTTAGCGTGACATCGTCTGTGCGCAGGGAGAATATTACTGAGGCTGGCCGGAGGCTAAAGGCATTGAGGAATTGTATATTTTCATGTATTCTCACTATTTGCATCGCCAGGCCCCTTATTTGTTCTTTGAGGTCAGGCAAAGGATAGGGCCTGGGACGGAGGATGAGTATTCATTTTCTTCGCTTCAGTTTTTTTTATTCATTTTTTATTTGCATTTGTTCTTCCTTTTTTTAGAACTTTTTTTACATCAAATCTCCGCCATTATTTGTCCTCTTTTCCTCGTTTTTTTCTCTTTACTTTTACTCGGATTATCTCTCTGATCTGATCTGTTTCTTTTTATAATCAATCTTGATATCACTTCACTTCTATTATGTCTTTCTTTACTTTCATCATAAACATATCTTGCTGTTCTGGTCTCTATATTATTTTATATCGGCCCTTTTCATTTACAGAATAATTTCATCAATTAGTTTCGGACCGACTTTGATGAAATAAATCGATCCCAACAAAATTAACAAAATTAATCATAGCTAGACGAAAGTTGATTGGTAGTTACGAAATATTTTTTGGGGGAACTATTTACAAATTAGACCGCGAGGTCGAGTGATGGTGGAGTTGATAGTCCACGAGGCCCTGCCGAGTGGTCTAATTGTCTTTCTCCTTCAAACTATAGGGCAAATTTTAAAAATGGTCATAATGAATAATTTTTATTAACATTTTTCTTTATTATTATTTTAATACTTATACCATAGTTCAGTAGCCATCTAGAAGACTCGATTTGTAATATACTTTAGCTTTGTGCATAAATATTCTTTACATAAACGATCTTGAATAGGTTGTC